ATCCTTTTCAAAAAATGTGATTTCTCCCTGTTCATGCTCAACTAGCTGCAGAAATAACTTCTTAATTGTAGAATCATAGAATATCCTGAGTTGTAAGGGGCCCACAAGGATCATCGACTCCAGCTCCTGAATGTCTCTCCTCTGGTTTCATTTCTGCATCATATCAAACAGAAGCTTCATGTCTTTGCCTGCATGACCTGAATGACCTGTAATGACCTATTCCCACGCTTTCTCATCTAGTATTCTCTAGTGACATGCCAACTCATCCTTCCCATCTGAGAGTGTCTATGTTCAGTCTTCAAGCACTTACATTCCCTTTTGTTCTGTCTTTGTCCTTCCCTCAGAAGTATCCCATTAAACTTCCTTTAAAGTCCCTCCTGAAAGTCCTCTTTCAAATTCTCCCTTAACCTTTTCCTTTGCTGGGCTGTCTACAGACTCCTTGTCAACAATAAAATATTTAGTGTGCTGAGACCACAGTTTTCCTTGCTGACTGTTTTGTCTAATTGCTTCCTTCTATTTCCTATCTCTACCCAGTTGTTAGTGCTTGTATTAGATTGTAAACTCCTGTAGTTGGGCCCTTCTTTGAATTCTCTGTTTTTCCAATATCCAGCACAATGGGACTGTTCCAGGATCTGTGGCGGTATAGGCAAAAAACATGTAATAATAGTAATAAAATAACGAGAAGTTAGAACATGGCATCATGACCAATATGAGCTCCTTTCCTCCCTTCCCCTTCTTCCTTCAGATTTGCAATATTTCAAATTTTTTACACAATAGAAGACAGTAAATGAGGAGGTTTCAGAATAAAGTATAGTAGCTGATGTATCCTTTCAGCTGCTGAAGTGTTTCCATGTGATCCACTCACTTATGGTGGCATTTTCAGCAGGGAAGCCTCTGTGGACACTTCTGTATGTCCCCTCAAGGTAAGACCAACATGTGGCAGCCAGGCAATGCTGAAGGAAGGTCCATGGCACAGTCAAGGTTATGAACCTCTTTCATGCAAAAACAGAGGACTCCTGTCTCCCAGGCTTGCTGCCAACGTATCGCCTTCTAGTCTTGCTGAAGTGATCTTGAAAAAGGATCTGAAAAGGGCTGAAGGGGCAAAAGAAGAATGTTGAAATGACATAGTTTCATCTTCATGCAGTTTAGTGCTAATTTTGTCCTTTGTCTTTAAGCTGCCTTTTAAGTGCTGTTTGTCTCTGTGGGAAGCAAATGGGTCACGTTGTTCTGTGTTTCTACTGTAATACGCTGCCTGCTATTTTTCTCTTAGATTATTTGTGTAATCTTTTTTTGTGCAATCTGTTTGTTCTTGAGTCTTGCAAACTTTGCTACTTCTTTCCCAATAAGCAGTGCAACTTGTTCTGTATTCACTAACGGGTATTCTGCACACAACAGACTGGGTTATTTCAGCCAGTATGAAAATATTAAAATGGGGAACATGTGTGGGCACTTAATTGTGGTGAGCCCAACCACAAATACCTTCGCTGTTGGTAACTGGCAAGCAGGAAAAGCAGACCTTTGTTTTGTTTTTATCAGACATAATGATAGATACATTGTTTTTAGTGGGGTTTTTCTGGTTTTCTAAGGAAATGAGGCTTGTGCAATCACACTGCCTGTGTGCATGTGCCTGTCTGCTTGTCAATTCCTCCCTCACTAACACTTGAAGCTAATAGCCATTTTCAACTAAATTTGAGCAAGATGCAGGAGTTGGGAGAAGAGACCAGCTTTTGCAGAAGTCTTGTGAGTTCTGCAGAAGGTGCAGTCTCCAATGGTCACATCACTTCAAGCCGGATCGGTTGTGTATATGCCCACATACCTTCACATGGATCCAACCACCTAACTGTAAGCTTCCAAATTTGAATATTTTGGCTTATTTGCTTTTACCTTTTGGGTGAGTGAGTCAGTTGGGAGAGCTGCTAGGCACAGAGCTTGTGTTTTGATTCTCACTGGAGTGGCCATGTCTCATGAAAAACATGGTTTGCTCAAGGCCACAGTGTTATAATTTGCATATAAACTTATAAAAAAGGAAGCTTTCTTTAAGCTTTCCTGTGTGACAGTTTACAGGAGTATTTCTGTCTGTGTACTTAATTGCAGAAACTGGACTTCTCATAAATGTAGACAGGTTAAGTCTGTCACTGCCTGAATGGAAATCTTCTGTGGAAAAACCCAGGAAGAGGAAGGAAAGCCTAAGGAAACCAACTTAAAGGGGAGAAGTTGGCCAAGGCTTGTGTTATGCTACTCTTTGGTTTGTATCTGACCACCAATAGTTATCTGGGGAATGCCTCAGAGTTATGGAGGAATGTAGCCTCGGAGCACCTTTGGGAGACAGAGAAGATGTACCTTTTGCTGGAAGAGAGGACAGAGGTACAAAGGCACTGAGTGACTTGTCAGAAATTACAAGAGGATGTATTTGAGTTAGGAAACAGACCCAGGTCTCCCAGCACAGGTACAGCCAGAAGTATGGTCTACATGTAGACAGCTTCTTCAGCAAATGGAGAGATGCCTGGTCAAAGAGGAAGATAAATGCTGAAGTATACCAGAGCTGGCTAAATTATGAATGTGAGAAGAGGAGGAGGGGAAGAAAAGATTCCCACATGTTCTGCTCAGATGTTAACAAAGAAAGCTGAGAAATGTTTGCATAGACACTACATTATTCCATGTCCAAATGCCTCATAAAAATAATACCGGATGATCACAGAATGGCACACTAGGGAAAATAAATTCTTCAGTGGAATATTCCCTCTGGAAAAACACTGTGTAAAGTAATACACTAATGGCTTTCAATTTCATGTTTTATATATAGAGATATTAACTGCTCCCCAGACGTCTCTTCGTATTACAGCCCAGCTACACGAGACGTTTGGAGAAGGCCCTGGAGCACGCTCGGTCTTGTCCACATGCAGGACTGAGTGGTGCTCTCTCGTGGTACATGCAGCTCCTGTGGTGTACACAGTAGGTGTCTTCTGCCTCCTTCCAGTGCAGTGCTGCTCCTGTGATTCTGTCCACTGGGTTTGGGGTTTTTTTTTTGCTTCCTAGTCCTCGTGTTTTTTTCTATTCTTCCCCCATGCTCTGTAGCCTCACCACCATGGTGGGAAACCTGCATTCCTTCTCTGCTCATAAAAAAGGAGTCCTCACTACAAATGCTACAGTGGAGTAATTAAAGCACAACACTGTCAATCAAAACACTAATAACAAATGCTAAAGAAAGTTAAGTTCACATACAGCATTATTAATTCCTTTTTGGGGGCTTTCCAGGCTTGTCTGGATTCATCTGGTGACTTCTCTCTCCAGATTGCTCAGGCTGGGAGCTGTCTGTGTCAGGAACTGTCTGTCCTGTATAAAGCCAACTATGGTTATGCCATTGTAGCAAATCATAACGATCTGGGGTTTTTTTCCAAGCTTTCCTAATATATCTCAAATGTGTATATATATCATCCTGCCACATCCTGAGGGATCCAAAAGTAGCTTACATGCTTTGTTCCCTGAACATAGTTTACTCGAGTCTGGGACAGGCAGGAAAGAAGTTGTGAGGGATGTTGACAGTGCACTGCCTAAGGACAGCAGCCCTGCTCCTGGGATGACAAGACATGTCCAAGTCCTTTAAGGAAGTTGTGCAATATATGCTTGAAAAGCCCAATAAACAGAGACTGTGGTATGAGAGAACATCATATAGTTGCTGGATTATTTAATTATTATCAGATACATATTATTTGTGTATGCATTTGTGAATAATTCTGTATTGAACTCAGTCTGCCTTTCTGCTTGTGCCTCAGCTCTTACCTCCCTTCCCCTCCTTCCCACTCTCAGTGACTGTACCACTCTATCCATGGAGTCTTCAAGAAGTGCAGGGCCCCATGACTGGAGACACCACAGTCAGTCTGAAACTGGACAGTACCATTTTGGATGGGGCAATGTCCCAGGCCACAGTTGCTCTGTTACCTTTGGTGGGTTTCTCATGCATAGAGTGTCTGAGGTTGTCCTTAATACCTTCCATTTTCAACACTGATCATTGGGTGAGGACATCAGACCTGCACGGGCTATCTCCATTTTCCAGAACTTGAATGACAGAGAAAAATGGCATGGGTGTGCCTTCCACCCACCTCTTCCATCATCTCTGCACCACAATCTTTCCTAGGAAAATGTCTTTCCCGTGATCTAAGAAAATCTTGTCTTCACTTGAAATCTGTCTGCCACATAACATTTTTAACAACAATCTGAACAAGGCAGGAAGCCTTTTGTATGTGTGTGTATGTCTGTGTGTCTGCAGGTTTTTTGTTATTCATTCCTATGTGACATTAGGGACCTTTTTCAGAAACAGACAGAGCTCTTAAGGCTTGTCTATACTTAGAGTCTTTACTAGCAGGTTCTGATACACCTTTCTTGAAGGATGGTAAGAATAAAGTATCCATACCTCAGTTTCCTTAGGAATAGTTTCTGTGCTTTAAATAGACACAATATCTTAATCCTTATTAATCTTTGAACAGAAAAAAAGGTAATTGGCTTCATTGAGAGAATTGGTTTAAACTGTACAAGCAAAAACTACTCTTTAAATGGTAGCAACTCTACTGCCACCAGGCAGCTTTTATCAGGCATCCTACCACAAAATCCTTTAACGTGGAAGCCAAAGCTTTAGGCACAGGTTTATCACATCTAACTGATGAGCTGAGGATGACTATATAGCTGGGTTAGGTGATAGCTGGGTGGTTTGTATCTGAGGCTCAGCCTCCTTACAGTGAACACTGGCTAGCAGCAGCAGCAGAACTGATATCAGTGCAGTCTTGGGAGCCAGTTTCAGTCCTTTCTAGATCTTTTCTTATGGGCCAGCACCAGAGTGCCTTACAGTGGTGGTGGATCTTTGCCAGCAAGTGGCACAAATTGCTCCTCTGTTGTTTGAGCTGCTGTCCCCCTTACACCTGTGCAGCACAGGTGTGTGGAAGGTCCTTCTCTGCAGCTGAGAGCAGGAGCTTGCTTTGACTCACATCCATTCCCTTTGCTGACAGGCCGCTGTGCCCGCTGTGGGGAGAATGTTGTTGGAGAAGGCACCGGTTGCACGGCCATGGACCAGGTCTTCCATGTGGAGTGTTTCACCTGCATGATGTGCAAAAGCAAGCTGAGGGGACAGCCTTTCTATGCAGTGGAGAAGAAAGCCTACTGTGAACCCTGCTATATTGTAAGTACCTGTTCTTCTTTGTGTCCTGGCTTTAATGCACAGACATTGGAAACATTGATTTCCTTCTTGCTGTAGAGTTACCTTACAGTTAAAATCTGACAATCCTGTGGCAGTACAGTGGGCACCAGGTTTTTCCATGGTATTCAGAAGAACTCTGATATTTTCAACTTACTGGATGAATCTCTTTTCCTGGTCTGACGTGTCTCCGAAAAGAAATGGGACGGGGAAAGCACAGCAGGGGAAATAGATGCTTTTTGTCATTTTTCATTTCTGTAAGGAGCAGATGATGCAGTGATTTTTTTTAGCAGTAGTGTTGTCCTTAGTTTTCTGTATTGGGAAACCTGATACCAAAAAGTTTACAGACTGTGGTGCCCACTACGATTAAGGAGGTGGGATGCAAGAGAGCAGAGAATATAAAAATTCTCTCTAAAATAAAAGCCTTTACATTTCTTGATGGAAATTTTTCTACTGAACTAGAAGTCTTCGGATTAGATATCTTTTGAAGCTTACCTTGCCCTAAAATTTCATTTCATGCCTCCAACAAGGTCTTAAAGAAAACAATTAACAGTTGCTCTGAGGAGCTGCATCTTGTGAGGGGCTCCTGTAAGAGCTGCTGGAACCAATTGCACAGGTGCAAATTAAAGAAAGATCACGTAACATGCCTGAGGCCTTACCTTAGTGTGACCTACACATCCAGTATATGAGGGTAATCCTTGTATCTTAGAGTACCAAGCACCAAAGCATTCTGGGAGTGTTGATAGGTCTTTCTCTAAACGTCCAGTTCTAAGTACTTATAGACACTGGGCCTGAGACCCTTGCAGAATTGGACTTGCACTTCTGAAAGTAAAAATTGATGCTTTACTTGATGTTTCTGCATTCCAGTAATAATTAGAGCAATAATACGTATTTTTGAAAATGCCACCAATATCCCATTGCTCTCTCTATTTCTGCAGAGCCTTTACAGTGGGATTATTACTGAAATATTGAATATAAAAAGGGCAGATTCTGTCTTATTTACAATGGCAGTGATTGATGGGCCTTGTTAATTTGTTTTTAAGAGCTAAATGATCTTTTGATGGAATATCTATCTTTTGAATCATTTCTATTTTTGTTTGCACTAAAATGATTGCACCATAAAAAATTTAAGGTTCATTTTGTGGCAAGTTCGACCATGTGCGAAGCACTGCAGACTTTAGGAAGGTGCATGCATAATATAATCGGAGCAACTTTATGTAACTGGAATTAAACATTTCATTGACTTCAGGCTGGAATTGACTTCATCTGCTTGCAGATTGATACTTTCTTTTCCTCTTTTTTAAATCAAGCACGCATTCTTCACCACTCATCTGCTTTAGTTTGGGAAAACATCTGCATTAGACACTGTAGTAATGGTTTAAGATTATTTAATCCCATTACTTATACACTTCATTAGCCTGAGTGAATTGTTGGCAAGGGTTCAGTAAACTTCCTACATTGGGAGATAAAAGGATAAAAAAGGAAAGGGAGAAGGATTCTGTTCCTCATTTTCTTTCAAATTTATCTTCTATCTATTTAAGGGATAAAGGAACGATAATTGCCTGGTTGCATCTGCGTTTGTACATTCTGTGATATGGCTTTGCAGCTCTGAGTACAGAAGAAAGAGTAAACGTTTAATAGCTTCTTTTTATATAACCAGAAGGGGCCTTTAAGTGTTTATCCACGCAGTCCACAAAAACCTGGTTATGGACTTAACCCAAAACACGTCTGGATCCATCTGCTGCTGCACATGCAGGGGAAAGGATGGCAATGCTGATGGGGCTGCGTATGTGTAGCTGGACAGCTGTTACTGTGAGTGGGAAATGGGAAGCTGGAATCTGACAATCTGAGACAGTAAAGAAAAAACCAAAAAGCCAAGCACACATTAAACTCTTAAATGTGGAAGAAGCAAGAGTTGGAAGCCTAAGTCTCAGAACCTTTCAGAAAGCTCAGGACTCAGCTGTGCTGAAAGCCAGATCTGCAAGGGATCTAAGCACCTGCCATGCTACTGGCTTTGGGCCTGAGGAATTTGTGTCCTAGAGCATATGTCTCATTGATTTTTCAGTGGAATGAGGTCTGCATTGGCTTCAGAAGGATAATGAATGCCTAAGTACACTGAAGCCTTGAGCTAGGCTTGCAGATTCTTGCAGATGAATTGGGGACCCTTAAATTGATGAGGCACAGTCTGAATGCTTTTGTCTTTAGATACCTTTAGATGTGTGATGCAGTTATACTGAACTCAATGAGAGTTAATGACCTGCTTAAAATCTAGCCTGTGCTTAAGGATTCTGCTGAATTGTGGCCTCAGATTTTTTTATTATTATTTTTTTTTTGAGCTTCTTCAAGTCCTATGATCAGAAAACAGCTTGGATACTAGGAACTCTAGGTGTGTAGGAAGTCAATGAGACTGAAGTGCCTAGACTCAGACACCTCTGGACCTAATTCCCATGAAAGGTGCAGCCTTTGTGAATAGCCCAAGACTGCACAGCTAATTCATGGCAGCGGCCAACTGAGAAAACAGGGGTTTCAGCTGGCATAAGTCTGAGTAATTCAATGAAACTTGTTTACTGGTCTACCTAATTCACACTGATTTCTAGCACACATCCCCATTTTCCTAAGTCCAAAACTCTTGACCTCTGATGCAAGCCATGGAGGCTTCATTTATATAATGAAAATAAACTATAGTACTTGCCTAATTGTGAGATATAAATTATTGAAGTCTTTGATTATTTTTTAATAATTCACTTGTGTGACTTGTGGCCTTACACACACAAAAACTATGCACAAAAATAAAAATAAATGTTTTTCAACAATTAGAATTGGCTAATCTTCTCGGTTTGTTATGTGACTCTTAGTTGTGGTGCAGTGAAGCCATAATTAAGATTACTGTGAAGAGCTGTATTTAATTACTGGTTAGTCAATACCAAGCCTAAATAGCCTGCAGAAGGGCTTTTCTTTGTTTTTGTTTCTGGTTTTATTTATCAGTGACCCAGTTAAGATGAAATTCCCCAAAAGTCTGAAATAACATCTAAGGAGATCTGTTTGAAAATAAATATTTTTCCTAATGGGAATTTGAGTACCAGAGTTAATTTCTTTCACACCACAGCCCCTGCCCCCCAGAAGTCCATCACTATCATTTCCTGTTACATCTTACGAGTGCAGCAAGTTCTGTTGCCAATGTGTTTGCTGGTTTTGCTCTGCATCCAAGGATTCTTTCATTATTGATGCTATTTCTAAAAGAGTACCAGTCTTCTCCATTAAGACACTTCTGCTGAACTAAAAGCAACTGTAAAAACTGAAGTGTTAATAGGAGACAGATGTTTCCTAGTCATTACGACAGTCAAGTAACATCTGAAATATCATGATAGGGGTTCCAGTGTAACCAGTGTACTGCTGTGCACGTGCTGAATGCTGTGTCTGGCATATGTTATCAGTATATTTTTTCCCTCCCTTACAGGGCAAATTACCAACAAAAAACCATTTGGTTTACTCTCTCTTAAGTAGTGGAAGAGATTTTAGCACTGGACTCAGAGCAAGGAAAAGGTTAAAAGTAATATCACTGGAATTGTTGTTATAAAAGACTGAAAAGCAAGATGTTAGAGCAGTGCCAGCTGTCTGCTTTCCAAATACCGTGTTATCATAAGGACTGAACACAAGGTTAACCAGACACACCAGTCTGGCAAGAGTGATGCTGCTGTTTTGTGAATGGGATGTTCTTTGATGTCCAGATAGCTTTCTCCAGGACATGGAAATTCTCCTCCATTCTTTATCCCCTCTCCTGGCAGTCTGGAGGTTGGCAGTTGGAGATACGAACTCTGAGGGCTGAGAAGGACTGAGCTCCTGCAGTTAACACAGGACACAGAGAGATCTTGCAGATGCTCCTGGCCTCTGAGGGTTTCTTCTGTTTGTGTCCAAGTCGATGTGACCCACCTGAGGAGAGGACCATGATGTGATTGGGAAGGGTACAGGAAAGCAGAAATAGCCTGGGTCAGCTGAAAGAGTTCAGAGAAGTAGTGGGTTAGAAATGATGAGCGATTGAAGGAGAAGAAAGAAACTCTCATGTCTGTCTAGCTAGAGTGGGGGGAAATGGTGGGTATGCTCTGCAGTGCCCTATGGAGAGCCAGGAATTGAGGTTTCCTGTTTCTGCTGTGTGCTGGGAGATATTGATGACGTGACCTTAAACCCATCCTCAGAGATCACTTACAAGGATTTTACAGGTGAAGTTCATCTTTCCATAGTACTAAAGCTGTGAAAGAGCTTTAAAGAGGAAGAATTGTGCTTGGAAGTCATGTCCTGATTACTGCTTTTCTGTAGCTTGAAAGTCAGGACCATAGTGATCCACTGTTTGTTTTTTTTTTTTTTTTTCTTTTTTCCCCCAATTACTTGTTCTGTGAGGGGAAAAAACCCAGTATATCTTAGAGGTTTATCTCTCTTACAAGTGTCTAACTTCCTGGCCTTTCAGTGGCTCTAGTTCAGTAGGAGAAGGTAGTTCAGAGCAGAACACAAGAGAAATGCTGATATTTTAAGAAATGGTACGACTAGAGCCACTGGTGCCATTGAGCATCCTGGGAAAGCTTGAATTTACTAATCATTCTGAAATGTCAGTGTTAACTCAATTTGTGCTAATTGAAGTCTCTAGTAAGACTGCTGTTGGCTTCAGTGTGACTGGTATTGTAAACCTCTCCCTGTGTGGGCACGTGAGTGTGTTTGGTTGAAGGCTGTGCAAGAGCAGCTTCCTCCAGCACATATGGTCTAAAGTGTAAGGTTGATCCCTGCAGTAAAACTACATCTATTTTTAAAAAATAATTCTGCAATTTGTAAGCAGGGATTACAGCACTAATTTAGCAACTATGTAACAGTTTAAATTGGACCAGAAAAGAGAAACTATAATTTAAAGATTTTTTTTTTTTATGATACAAGTTTTCTTCTTTTTAAAGTAGAAAGCCTTTTATTCTTGTTTTTGTCAAGCAACGTATTGAATTTGA